ATCACATAAACAAATTAATAAAATGAAAAAAAAAAGATCCTATAAAATCTGAGATTTTTTTTTTCTGAACCAAACTGATTCACTAAAAAGTATCATATTGACCAACACTACAAGAGAGATTGCAAAGCATTTTTTTTCGTGTTATTTACATACTTTTATAGTCTTTTTTTTTAGTTTTAGTTCTAGTAGTTTTGTTGTGCTTTTTGTGATTTTCTTAGTTTTTAATATTTCTATATAGCTTTATTGTAGTTTTAGTGTTAGTAATTTTAGTACTTCAGTTTATTTCAGTTAGTTGCCAAGGCAAGTACACACACACATTTTTATACATGCACGCACACACACACTCACATATATATATATATATATATATATATATATATATAATACTCACCACAACAGTCAGGTCCTGAGATGTTTTAGGGACCTTCTCAGACATATCTTCTTCAACAATTCCTACGTGTCTTCGAGTGATCTTTATGCTTGTGTGATCAAGAGTGTTGTCAAGGCTGTACAGTACTGTGTGATGTATTCAAGGTGGAAACTGCTGATTTCGTTGTTAAGGGGTTTGGTCAGTGAACTGAAGTCAATAGAACGGCTTATGCTGTTTTAGCTGTGATCATTTTATGTCCTAAAGGGGGCACTCGATGGCTCAGAAAGGCGAGACCCAGTAGAGATTCTGAATCTCTGCAAACAGCTGACAACTGTATTCAGTATATTTGATTAATAATAATAAAAAAAAAACATTTTGATAAAAATATAGAAGAAATATTATGCCATTAATGAAAAGATTAAGTCATAAAGGGGGGCAATGTAAATAAATCTATTCAGTTGAACTGTATGAATAGTGATTTGAGTTGTCGATATAGGTGAAAATAAATAAAGTCCTGTTTTTGCCTTTTGATAATATTTTATATTAGATTTCTAGAATAAATGAGATTTTTCATATTTAATGGATTAGCCTAACTAAAATACAGTAAAATTATTATTAACTAAGACTTACCTGTATATTTTCCTAGGCTCTTCAATAAATGAAGAACATTTCTTTATGATTAATAGAATTGTCACTGTTTGTCCATCAACATATTATATCATTTGAGACTTTTTTATTCTATTTAAGATGTTTAAGACCTTTTACAGCCTTTTGACATGGTCAAACTTTAAAAAGCTTTAACGGACTGCAGCGTCGGCGCCACGGGGGAGGCTGAGGAGGCCCGGCCCGGCCACCTCGGCCACTGTGCCCCCTCACCTCTGGTGCCGTCTCCGTAGTGGGCGCCCTGATTTTAGTCGGTGCGTCACAGAGTGAGCAGAGGCCGGGGGCTAGAGTGAAGAACAGCCGGAGGGCTAGAGTGAGCAGAGGCGGCGGGCTTGAGAACGGCGCGGCTGGCGGATTCGATGAAAGAGGCTTGCGGCAACCACATGTGACGACCCCGGGCTGGACTCCGCTTCGTCCACGGTGAAAGCCGATCCGGCGATCCACAGTGCAAAGTTGTTGTATTTCCTCAGCGACCAGCACGGATCAGCTCCAGGCATGACGAAGCAGATATCGTCCTCTTTTGGAAGGCCAAACAAAGTAGTTTCGCTTTCACAACGAAGCACACAGCGCCTTCACGACATGGCAGCGGCGGCAACAACAATACTACAGCGAGAATAAAAGTTGCGCCTTCTTTCTTTGCGTGAACATTTGGGCGGCGTTATGCAAATCTTCCCACATCGTGACGTAGATATGTGGGGGCATGTTAGAACGAGCCGTTTTAGGTAGGCGTGGCTGACTCTTAACTTTTATAAAGAATATCTCTTTGGATTTGAGACTTTAGTCTTTGCAACTTTACAGATCTTCTTTATGCACCAAGAGCTTGTAACACTCCAAAGAGAAAGGAAAAATTGAAATCGCATCATATGACCCCTTTAAAGCACAGAAATGATTACTTGTTTTCTGTAGCCTAATTAATTTCTCCATTTCCAGCAACTGCCTGTCTTTCAAGTATTATATAAATACATATACATATTTTTATTTATACAACTGTACAGTAAATAATACACAAATCTGTACATAAATCTGCTGTTCCAGATTTTACCACATTGTTATTATTTTTTTTTCTTTAGTCTTATTTAATTGTTCTTTCTGTTCTCATGTCATGTATGTACCAAGAGCTACTAAAAAACACAACAAATTCCTTGTGTGTTTGCACACACTTGGCGGATAAAGCAAAATCTGATTCTGATTACACTTTCAGGCCCGTGGACACCCAACCCGTACTACATATTTGCTAGATTTTAATTATTTTAGATTATTACGAACCAAATTTTCCTGAGCCGCAAGCACCCCCTTTCGAAGATAAATGTTTATTTCGTGGTGTACAGATGCTTGGCCATTCCACTGGTTTAGGATTAATACGTCTGCGGGGCCCCGGTGCTAGTTGTACCTGTGGGCCCTGTTTGAAACTGTATAAATAGCACAAATAAATAAATAGAACAAAGATACAAATTAAACAATTAATTAATTCTTGTTAAAACTACAATTAATTCAGTAAAGAGCAGTGAGTGATTTTCTCTCATTTAATTTATTGGATTAATATTAAAGGGTTAGTTCACCCAAAAATGAAAATTCTGTCATTAATTACTTACCCTCGTGTCGTTTCAAACCCGTAAGACCTTAGTTCATCTTCGGAACACAAATTAAGATATTTTTGATGGAATCTGAGAGCTGTCTGACCCTGCATAGACAGCAATACAACTGAAATGTTCCCAAGTCCAGAAACGTAGCAAGGAGATCTGTAAAATAATCCATGTGACATCAGGGGTTCATCCGCAATTATACGAAGCTACGAGAATACTTTTTGTGTGCAAAAGAAAGAAAAAAAGACTTTATTCAACAATTCGTCTCCTCCGCATCACCCTGTAGCGCCATTTTGGAGAATATCCGCTGGACGTAAACAACGTATGCTGTTCTGTGTCAGCTGTGTCACGCCGGATCTGTTTCAAAGGTCTTACGGGTTTGAAACGACATGAGGGTGAGTAATTAATGACTCTTCATTAAAATGAATTTTCATTTTTGGGTGAACTAACCCTTTAAGGACACCGACAGCAGCTAGTAAATTAGGCGCGGTCACTTTAAGAGACAATACATCCAAAATAATGGTACACATCCTATTTCTTTTTTCAACTGTTTATGTTCACTTAAGAAATAACCAACTTTTTTTTTTTTGAGGATATTTGCCAAGACAGGTATATCTACTTAATTTTGTATGTATTTGTCAGTTCAAGAGCAAAAACTCAATTCGGTGTTCAAGGGCTGTGAGACGTGGCTCTCTGCGTGCGCACTGTGCGCACATAACACAGCTTGCAGGTGCTGAATTAAGCTTTTCTCGTCTTTTTGTGTTTGTATGTTTAAACTGGTGAGGTATATTTGATTGTTCAGGTGCGTGAGGAATCGAAGGAGAGCTTGGTTCGGTGTTTGAGCACTGTCTGTGAGACGCGGCTCTCTGTGTGGGCACCGAACTCGGTGCGCGAGCACTTGGTTCAGTTCTTTCGCATCTTGTGCTTGAACGCTTTAAACTCTTTTAATGGTTAAATTAGCAAGGCTTAAAAACATGTGCAATTGATATGCTTTCGTGATGACATGCAGCAGTGGCCCATCAAAAAAAATCGCCGGGGGGCCCTTCCTCAGCCATGGGCCCCTATAATTGTCACCACCTTTCACCCCACTAGCGACGGCCCTGGTCACTGGCAACCGAAATGACAAGGAAACCAGCCTGTTTAACTACAGGTCTTACTTATTGATTGAAATGTCCAACGATCTGCATAGAACGATGAAAGTTAATAAATGTACCTTTATTTATTTATACCTGCGTACTACGCTTAGAGCAAACACAAAACCATAGAATTGGAACAGATAAACTCAGTTTCCCATGAATTTAGCGACTACCGCAATGAATCATGGGAATTGTTGTTTATTCGTCATTGGATTCAGGGCCATCTGTCAGCAAATCTCAGTAGCCCCTCACTGCAGAACACAAGATCCAGGGACCGTGGTTGGATCCACATATAGGGGGTGGAGATGGGTGGGTTTCGGAATCAGGGGGTGGAGACAGGTAGGTTTAGGTATGTAAGGTAGGAGGAGTTGGATCTGGATCCAACCACGCCCCCTGGATCTTGTGGTCTCGCAAATCTCATTGGTTGAACTACATGTCCCATAAACGCTTGGAGAGAAAATTTTACATCGCAACAACAATTTGACCGCAAGGGGTTTCTGGAGTCAGTTGACATCGTCGACTCCAGTGAGGCGCGCCAGAGGCGACACGCAGACGGTTTTTTTTTTTTTTTGCAGAACTTTGATAATTTTCCCCACTTCGTCGAAAAGGGATAATAGCGCGAACGTACATTTATATTACTAACATTAGTTGCAAAAACATGCTGGATCTCTGGTTTTATTATTGGTTCTTTTTTTACTTGGTGGTCCGGTAGGTAATTGAACTGCCAGCTGGATTATGTTTTGCAGCGCTGCTTGCTGGCCAAAATTAAGTTAATTAATCTTTCCCGGGATTTAAGATCCAGCGATATTTCATCGGACCAGTTTGTAAAACGAAGTAAAATCGTCGTTTGAATCATTCTGATGCCCAGCTAACTAGACTACAGCTAGTCAGCCGGGGCTTGCTGCGCTCAAGCCGGGCGAAGATTGACGCTGCACGGTGTCACCCACCTGAAGAGGACCGAGGTTATTAGGCGACAATGCTTGAAATAATGTCCGAACACCAAGGTAAGGAAAACCCAAGACTTGAATTTCAAACTTTAACCATGTTGTGATAGGCAACACCCATCATCATCATCGTTCAGTTTTAGCAGAGCCAGCTAACGTTACCATAGCCTGTTAGCAGCTTTAATACTGCAGTAACTTTAGATACTCTTTAGTTTAGCAGACCGGTGTCACTAGTAAACTTGATTCATTGCCAGACACTTTGTAATGTTTGATTGTGGTAATGAAAAAGAGGACATTTTACTGCGCCGACGAGCTGGCTCATACGGGGATTAACGTTAGCCCAGTTGCTATCTTGTGCAATGGAGTGTAATTACTCATGTTGATTGTAGCCATTTGTTAAAGCTGTAATTCATAAATAATTTAAACATTCATGATATCCAACCACTGCTTGCCGTTCAAATGATGGGCACGTTTACGAACCCGCAGTTACGCAGCGTTGCGCATTCTGTCTTCGCAAAGTAAACCAGCTCAATTTCAAATCAGTTGCTGTTATTGATCACTTTAACCAGGTGCCAGTTGAATCGTTTTAATTTGGTATACAGATCGGCTGTTTCTCTGATATTTCAATGCCATTTAAGGCAGAAATTTTGCTTTTTTTTAAGACGGGTCCCTGCTTAGCGTGGTAGCATTTCGCTGCCTGACTGTAACGTTACTCTTTGTTACGCCGGGGCAAGTGTATTGCCGATGGGGTCTCTTCCACTCAACACTTACCGATTTGGTCGTTGTAACTACATCATGATCAACCATACATGCTTTTATAAGAGTTCCCAAACCAGAAAAGTTGTCTTGGCGTGCTTCGACGTCGAAAGTAAGGCTTAAGCCACAAGCTGCTGCGTCCTCTCGCCTTTATGACTGCTTTAGCTTAAGGTGTTTGTCGCTAAATTAGTTTAGTTTTCTCCACAATTAAAGTCCCTTAAACCGTGTGGATATTTGGATGTAAAATGGTGCCCTGCGCACTTGAATTTTACGCCTCAATCAACAGGGTGTCGCGAGGAATAGCACAGTTAGCGCGTTAGCTTGCCGTCGAAAACGCACTTTGACCAGGTTTGTAAGAATGAAAACTGCACAAATCGATTCCAAATGCAACGTTTTCTCGGTTAATCTAGTTATTTAGCCATGAATTAATGTTATTCTCTCCCCTTCATTTTTCTACATAGATTCATTACTGAAATGCAAAGCAGAGACTCTGGTAAGTCAAACAAGGACATTAGATTTTAATCCTACAGATGGCAGTGCTTGTCCAAATGCTAATAAATAATTTTCATGTCCAGCCATCAGAGAGAAGAAAGAGGACAGTGGAGGACTTCAACAAGTTTTGCAGTTTTGTTCTTGCATATGCTGGTTACATCCCTTCACCAAAGGAGGTAAGAATGGAGCATTGTTTCACATTTAGGTGTGGTTTAATGCATTAAAGCCCTTTTTAAAGGGGTCATATGATGCGATTTCAAGTTTTCCTTTCTCTTTGGAGTGTTACAAGCTTATTGTGCATAGATAAGATCCCTGAAGTTGCAAAGACTAAAGTCTCAAAACCAAAGAGATATTCTTTATCAAATTTAAGACTCTGCCACGCCCCCCTAAAACGGCTCGTTCTAACACGCCCCCACATATCTACCTCACTATGTGGCAATATTAGCATAATGCGGCCCAAATGTTCACGCAAAGAAAGAAGGCGTGGTTTCAGTAACCGCAGTTAGGACCTACAATAATGTACAGTATTTGAAAAATAATGTGTTTTTTGAACATTAGAGCATGTCAACATATTCTGTTACACCAAATACACAAAATAATGATCTTTAAAAAAGCATCATATGACCCCTTTAACTTCCTGTTCCCAGAGACGTCCTAGTGCTGCATCTTTTTGACACTCATTCCAAGCATGTACTAATGTACTGATGAGTAGAATTCAACCAGTACTGGATTTTGCAGATTAATTAAGTTAACTGATTAATTGGCCAGTGGTTTTTAAAATCAGTATTTACAAAAATAGGGCTAAAATGTATTACAAAATTAACAATATTGACTTGATCATGAAAATGTTTTATAATTTTTAAAATAAATCCAATAAATAATCTGTGCCTCATTATACACAAATAGTTTTTTATATTAGAAAAAATATAAATTCTGTACAAGATGGGAGAGAGAATGATAGGAATAAAATCACAAGTCTTTTTTTAATGTAATTTTCAAATAGCATGCACAGTATATATAATGTCCATGTGCCCTCATGTCAACGCTATACTGTACTCACTTTTTAGATGTATATATTTTACATTGCTTTTATTTTTATTTTGCATATAACTACAGTGTATTTTGTAAGAGCAGAGGACAGATATATATATATATATAGAAAACTGACTGTTCAATAATCCAAGAATCCAAAATGCAGCTATTGGTGCCAAATGCCAATGATTTAAATAAGGTGTGTTCAGTTAAGGAGACGTCTGAAACGTGCAGTGTTTGGGGAATTCCAGGATTAGCATTGAGAACCACAGATTTACTTATGGCGCTTTTCCACTGCGTGGTACGACTCGGCTCGGTACGGCTCAGTACGGCACGGCATGGGTCGGCTCGGCACGGTTTGCGTTTCCACTGCAGTTCAGTACCGCTTTAGAGTGGGCGGGATTATTCACATGTCGTTATAGTTGCGCCGCCTCTACTACCACGACTCCTTAAAAAAACGTTTTCATTCCGCGTCTCCCCATCAAGCTCTCGCTGGATCCGCTCCTCTGCTATCAACTTTTTCATTCCGCATCGCCCCATCAAGCTCTCGCTGGATCCGTATTTTTACCTGTATTTGTAGATGTCAGTAATGGCATGACCAAATATCATGCGACCCATCTAGATGTCTGTCTCTGTCCACAGGAAAGGCCATGGTCACCAGCATCCTCCAGTTCTCCAAACAGCTCTGGTGCTTCAGGTGAAGGCAGCGTTTTAGGTGGAGCGAGTTCAAACATGGCTCCCAACTGGAGTCACGGCACGTCGGACTTGCACACCATCCATACCTTTGTTCGCAAGGCTCGTGCCAATAAGAGCAACAAGAGCATGAGGCGGCTGTCATCTGACAGCACCCTGATGGGTAAAATGTGTTTAAAAGACCCTTTTTATGAGGGCCAGGTGGCCAGCAAAGCTGAGCGCAAAAAGGACAAGAAGCTGAAGCGTCTTTGTCTAAGTTCAGGCGCTGGCGACGGCAGCAGCGGTGGCGAGAAGCGTGCAAGGATCAAGCGTAGTAAAAACCCCAAACAGTCCAAACCCCTTAAGAAGCTTAAGAGCTCGGCCCACAGCGAGACAGACTCCGAGAATGGTCTCGGACATGGAGAGGAGCATTTGGACCAGGGAGCAGCGGCTGAGCGCAGACTACAGGCCCAGGTGAAAGAAGAAAAGGAGGAAGCCACCAGAGAGGCGGATATGAGTTCCAGTGAAGGCGAGACTTGGATTGCGGATGAAGACATAATGGTAGAGTCAGGTGGGTTTATTAGGGACTGAAGAAGATTTAGATGGTTTGGAGATGCTCATAAATAATCATTGAAGGATTTTAATATTTTGTTACAGAATTTTATGTCAGTGTGGTGAAAAATGTCAACTCCGTATATGTTTTCAGCAGCTATATATATATATATATGTGTATATGTATGTATGTATGTATGTATATATGTATATATGTATATGTGTGTGTATTTAAATATTTTTTTAAACATTTGGTTACATTTACAATTTAAATACTAATTTTTTTAATAATTTTATGCGTCTTTTCCTTACAGGGGATGATTCATGGGACTTGATCACCTGTTACTGTGGTAAACCCTTTGCAGGACGGCCCATGATTGAATGTAGTCAGTGCAGTGTGTGGGTGCACCTCTCTTGCGCCAAAATTAAGAAGTCAAACGTGCCCGACATATTTAACTGCCACAAATGCAGAGACTCTCGACGGTCAAGTCATAAGAAAGACACTTAGATGAGGGGTCTTCATTCCCTCAAAGCTCTGAATGTTCCCAGTTCTCCAGTTTTTGTATCCAAAACAATTTTCAGTTTCAAAATCCATTTTTTTTCCTCTCTTTCTTTACAGTTCTAGTTTTGGCGACCAGTTACTCCTTACATGTTTAACAGTCAATAGTCTCCATTGCAGAGTTCACTGAGAAATAATGTTTGAATTGATCTCTTACCTCCTGAGTTGGTAATTGATCTTGGCTCATTTGTAACTATTCCACAGATACGTACACTATTCTTTGTCACACAAAATTGTCATTTGTTTAAAGTAAGCAGCTTACATATTTAGTAAGTGGCACTATTTTCCTTTGGAGAAGTTAGAGAAGCCACACTACATTTTCACAGATGTATACTATATTGGTTACTTTGGTACTATAAGAGTCTATTTAAAAGTTAAAAAAAAAAAATAAACTATACAAAATACAGAAAAATGTTATCATGATTTTGCCAAAGAGCTGCTATGAGAGATTGTTGACACTGCTGTTACTAGAAAATGCATTATTTCTTAGTGAACTGTCCAGTTGATTTTTTTCATTGGGATAGATGCCATTGCTTGAAGGCTAATAGATGTAATGTGTTGATCTGAATGCCATTTCCTGTAGGTGATCATAAAACTATTTGATTACAACCTCTTTATTTGATATTTATGTAAGAAATCGCACCCAAATGGACTTGACCAGTCAGCTAACACGTATTAGATGTTCAAATATAAAGAGCTGTAGGAGTCATTTAAACAGGGATTCCATTCAGCTGCAATTATTGATATCAAACATTAATTTCATCTAATTCTACTTAATATGTTAACTCGTGTACTTTATCGAAGAAGTTATCAATACTGTTTGGTCTTTATTACTTGCACAACGTAGTGTTTTTTTTTTCTCAATGTGTTCAATTTTTTGGAACATTTCAGTTCAATAAGATGTGAATGCTAGATTTAGGAGCTTTGCTGAAGCTTTCCTCGAATGAAATGGTTGTAATTATTGTTTTCAAGAAGTGTTTGGGGGTTTTAAACTCTGAGAACTGGCAAAGATTACTAATTTCTGCTACAAGCTCTTTCTTTTGAAATAGTTTGGAGACTATTGTTTGGATTTTTTTCCTTTGTGGTTTATTTGCGAAGCAAGGGGGATAGGAAATCCCCGAAAGCCAGACTTCTCTGGCTTCATGTTTCACATATATCACAGATTTTGAGAAGTGTACATATCTGAAAGTGAAGAGAAAAGCAAAGCAAATAGTTATTTTTTTTTTTTATTATTTTTGTTTTTTTGCATCTGATATGGTTTTCTTTAACTATCCGGAGAAATAAAACTTTTCTTTGTTGGGGTTAGAATGTCTTATTTTCCTAATTTAACTTTTGTGTTGAGATGCGTCATGTATTTTGTGATTTAAAATAAGTTGAAAGAACATTAGACATGATTGAATAGTTTATCCATGTACATTTTATTTTGCAGCAACACCAGTACAGTGTCTGTCAGTTTGCACACCACTAGAGGGAGCTGGTAAGCTAATATTGGAAAAACATAAATGCAAATAAATAAGTCACAGTTTATAAACCTGAGATCCAATGACTTAATAGAAACCAAAAGTTATATAAAATAGATTAAAAAAAAAAGGAAACCACACAAGTGATAAAGGACCAAAACAAAACAACATTAGGTGTCCTTTTTAACGGTATATGTAATCTGTTAGTTTGATCACTTTGCATCGTATTCCTTAAAATCTTCAGGTTCCTCCTAAGGGGGAAAAATATATATTTTTACAGTAACAGGATATGCAATCTGTTGAGTTCAAATATATGTAGTCAAACCACTGTGGTTTTCTCTGATTGAAAATACCTTTCTGTTCCTGGAAGACAAGTAGGAGCTTCCAATGGGGTCCAGAGGAACAGTGATCCTCCTCCTATTCAGGGTAATAAATATAGAAATCGTGTGTGAATTTGGGCTCTGAAAACATTGAGATAGCTTCTACAGAGAACTTAAGAGTTCCATATCCAAAAAATAAAAATGGAAAGCTCTTTACAAATAGTAAAATAAATAGACATTTAAAATAATTTAATACTATGAGGTTAATTATAGCAATTAAAATAAAAATGTTCTATTAATTTTTATTGAACTTGTATTTAAATATTTTCATATAAATCATATTTTAATAAATATTTCTACTCGCCTCTTATCCTTGTTTTTGCGGCGGTTGCTGTTTGCTGGTTGCACATTGATGTGTTCCATAGGGGAAAAGAAATCGGGAGTCTTGGCGGGATTGGGTTCCCAGTCCCGAGTCATTTCCCCTTCATTTCCTGGGAACAAGTCTGCCAGATCAGAGAGCTCATAGATGTGTGGCGACATCTCCTGATCTGACCTGTGATTGCTCTGCAGGGAATCAGATGCATTTGAATATGTGACATATTAAAGTGTTTTTATTGCAATGCTATATTAAAAGCTGTATATAAATGTATATGCTCTCAAGAAGAGAATTAACTCCGCATATAATTAATGTGATATTTACTCTTTTCACTCGCAGTCTGTCTGGTATCAGGAAAGCACAAAGCTCGTCCATCAAGAAGTAGACAACCAGAATAAGTAGCAAACACCTGGAGCACGTCATCTGAGGGTACAACACCATACAACATGATGTTTAGAAAAGTTTGGACACCAAATATTTGCATGTATTAAGATAAACTGCTAACAGCAAACACAATAAGCTGATTAGAAAATGTAGCAAATTCAGCACATTTATAGGACAAAATTCAGAACTGAATTAAATTGTATTGTGTTTTTAATATTTACCTTCTTGACAAATTAGTCTGTCCTTTGGCAGTTTCTTCAGGAGTTGTTTGACAGTCCTGCTCTGTTCCTACTTGTGTGTTATGTTGCCTTGCCGTCCTCTTTGTCAAGGGCATGTGTGTTTTGGGTATTTGTAGACCTGAAGCTGGGGTGGGTTTATATAGGATGACCAAGAGATTATGGATAATGGGAGTGTGTGTGTCTAGCATGACTTCACCCACTCTCCAAAAAGATTAGAACATAATTAAAGCATCGTTTTGGTTGTTGTTAGAATGTTCTAGTTCAAACTCAGCTTAACAGGTTGACAATATCTACATTGAGCAGCCACAGAATCTTGCAAGAGAATTAAAAATCAGTATTCATAATGACATGGAATATTCTTCTCATATGTTTATCTATATTTAAACTATTTCAATTTATGATGAATAAATGATATAAAAATTGTACGCTATATTGTCTGAAGAAATTACAAATAAAACACTAAAAAATATGCTACAAGTGAATTTAGGCATCACAAAATTATATATTAGAAAATGGTATTTTCATATTGAAATTTGCCAAAGATTACATTTAAGTGTTATTAAATTATTTGTGTTTTTAAGAATAAATTTAAGTGTTAAATGACAGAAAAGTTAAACATATATCAACCAATATGGATAAATTAATACAATTTCTAATATTGGCTAATGGTTCTGAAATATTGTGTATCTCTTGTGATTTTATTTGTAATTTTATGAGACATTTGATGCAAGCCTGTGCATTGTAACTAGTTGGTATTTGTACACACTCTGAATGTTCTGTCATTTGGAGACTCTGTGTGTGGCCTGTTCAGGTATCAGATAATCTCGTCTCGCCCAATTTCACAGTTTCAAAACATTGGATTCTCCTCCACGTACACCAAAACGGTCTCTTTCTCATTAGGGATGGTCGTAGTATTATCAGAGGAAACACACACACATACATAAGCAAGTTGAAAAAAAGCAGCGGCGGCCTCTGGATGGCCTACCAGCAGTCTGACACGTTTTCTCTTTTCCTCTTTTCCCTCCCTATCCTAATTATTGCTATTTCTGGCAACAAGGGCCCCAGACATAGACTAGCTGTTGACAGACAACCCATGGTGAAAATAAACTACCTTTACTAAACAGGGTCGGTGCAATCCACCCAGATCTCTGTCAACAGAGACTGAGAACAAATCATTGCTGCTGATTACTCTAATTAGTGTAAAGTGTGTGTGTGTGTGTGTGTGTGTGTGTGTGTGTGTGTGCGATCATTTCTGACAATCCCGCCTTCTCATTTCTGCCCTATAAGTACCCAGAATCTTCCTGAGTTCCAAATTTAGAACAATGAAATTCTAAAGAGTCCATTGGCAGCACAAATATAAGACTTTTTGTTAAAAAATGGCAGAATCAGTAATGTTTTTGGATTACATATGTAATGTATTGTGTATTTTCATTATAAAAACTCTTGTAGATACAGTAATATTTTTCCAGAATGTTTCAGATAATAAAATGGGTGGTTCATTTTCAGCACTTCCTATATTCAATAATATCTCAAGTAATATGCAGAGTGCAGCTTACTCATTTTCATCCCATGTCTTGAAATGTATGGATCAGTGTTTCTTCAATACTGCTCACTACATTTGCATTTGCATTTCATTAGATTCAAAATATATTTGTCTGGTTTACAGACCTCACTCAGTTTTGTCTTATGAATGTTGAGCAAGTCGAAAGTGTATGCTGTTTCTTTTCTTTCAGTAACTACTGAGTCAGTATAACATGCAGCTAACTAGTTACCGTATTATAGTCAAGTGGCAATTCAAAATGAAAAACATTATACCTAACATTACATCTAAACCACAGACGATATACAGGACATTACAGACAGAAACTATATTGTAAATCTCTGTGGAAAATGCAGTCTCTTAATTTAAAACTGAAAGCAAGATTTCAAGCTTTTGAGTTATACAAGCTGTTTTACTGCACAGATTGTGTAATGCCTGGATAGATCATGTTTTTCTGTGTTTAGCATTTTGTGGTGAATTTCTGTTTTGTAAATTGTTTCTTTATATTGTTTTTATCTGCATTGTAATTTCTTTAGGGGTGGAAGTAGCTGTACATTCACCGTGTAATTTATTTTTTTTCCCGAATTATAACTATTATGTATTAAGGAATTGTAAAGGCAAAATAAAAAAAATTCCCTC